TTTAGAGGGTTAAAATGTTGTGGGGTTGTTAACCAATGTCATAAAACAGCATGTGTGCTACTGTTTCATGAGAAATTATTTGTTCTGTAAGCCTTCACCTGAAGTACAATAAAATATTAAAAAAAAAAAGAAATAACTAATTCAGAGATTTATTGAAATACTTTATAAGATAAAGTCATTATGCACATCATGTGAAATTTATATAGAACAACTATACTGGTACTAACCTTTTATTCAGACTACTCTAAATTCTGGCATAAGCTTAAAAACAATCATTTAAATTTTAAATGGGTAGGTTTCTTTCTACTGTGTAAATTATAGAACCAGAAAATACCTTTTTTACATGACTTTAGAGTGAAGCTTTACACTGGAGAAGTATACTAAGAATAAAATATTTCAAAATAGTCACTATGGTAATTCTGTCAAATTTACCACTGTAAAAATCTTGATTTTTTTGTTATATGATTTTTCAATGGAATTTTTTGATTGTCCGTTATTTGCAGAAGCTTCTGGGCCTGATTTTTCTTATTTCTAAATTATTTTTTCTTTAAATAGCAAGGTGTAATATGCATTGCATGTGAAGGTCACTCTTGTTTCAGTTATGATTCCTTTAGCATCACTAAGGTGCATAAAAGCTTCCAGGCATACATTACTGGCCAAACCCACTCAAGGACATCTCTGCCACAGGTGTGGGATAAGAATTCCAAAAGTGTTGAGTTTGAACTGTGCAAAAGTGTTCGTCAATGTTATGAATTACATTGTGTCCCCTCAAAATATATGTTGAAGTCTTAATCCCCATTACTTGTGAATGTGACCTTGTTTGGAAATAGGGTCTTTGAAGATGTTATCAGTTAAGTTAACATGAGGTCATACCTGAGTAGGGTGGGTCCTAACCCCATCTGAATGGTGTCCTATAAAAGAAAAGAGGCACAGAGAGACAAACAGAGGAAGGATGCCATGTGATGTTACAGCTGCAGGCTGGAGCTGCGAGAACCTAGGAAAGAGGCATGGAACAGATTCTCTTCCTCAGAGTCTCAGAAGCAATCAACATACACGACATTCTGCTCTTGAACTCCTAGCCTCCAGAACTGTGAGACAGTACATTTCTGTTCTTATAAGCCACCGAGTTTTTGGTACTTTGTTATGGCAGCCCTAGAAAACTACTAAGTCAAGGAGAGACTCAGCTCAGAGTCCAGTCTGAATCCTCTTTCTTCTTAGATGAACAACACCATTTATGTGTCTCTTTGCCACGAGAGTAAATGAGGAAAGTCTTATTGTTATGGCTGGTGGTTACCCAGAGTCAGGATGAGGAACCATCATTAGAATGGTTGAGCCTCCCACTTTCCACAAAGTGGAAGATAAAGCGTTGATGGATCATCTACATTGTTGTGGTTCTTCAAAGACAAGTGGAGTATTCCTTCCAAACCACACATCGCCTACTCAAAAAGTGATGTTTTCAATAAGCCTGGTTTCCCTTTATGAGAGAGCCTTGACCAGCTGAGACTCTGCAACAGTTTTCTAAACATGTTATGACTGTCACTAACTTAAAAGCTCTTCCTTTACTAGAGTAACAATGTGTATCGTTTACTTTTTTGAAAGAATGAAGGCCATTTACATAAGAATTTTGAGTCAACTGTTTGCATAGAACAGGTACAACGTGATAAATAATCTTTAGCAAAATGCTGAATCCTGAATCAAGTTTGAAAGAAATGTTTTGGAACATTAAGAATAATATGAGGGGGGAAGGAAAAATAAAATTATTCACCTCCATCTCCACAGCCACCCACTTTAATAGCTTAATGTGAGTAAAGGGCAGGGATTGAAAGAAAAGCCTTGAGATTTTTCATTTTATGTTTTTTCTTGTCCTTAAAAGCATTATATTTGTGTGACTTGAACCATACTCATGTGTAACACAAGAACAAATCATACCGTTTTTAAAAATGTGGAGGAATGGGATTCAAACTAGTTCTGTTTTTTATAATAATTAATTTCTTTTGGATTGACAGTGAGATTCTTAGGTCTAAAGTCACTCTGACGCTTGTCTGGCCCTTGAGCCATCCAGTTTATCCAGAGGAGAAAGCAAAGAATTAAGGTTTTTCTGTTTTTTTTTAAATGAGGTAGCTGTGTTAGGCTGAATAATGGCTTCCCCAAAATGTCCTTTCCTAATCCTTGGAGCCTGTGACTATGTTACCTTTCATGGACTTTGCAGACGTAATTAAGTTACGGTATTGAGATGGGAAGATTGTCCTGGATTACAAGAGTCGTCCCAGTGTAATCACATGAGTCCTTCTAACAGGGAGGCAGAAAGATCAGAGTCAGAGAAAAAAGATGTAAGGACAGAAACAGAAGTTAGACAGCATAGAAAATGTTATGCTGCTGGCTTTGAAGATCAAGGAGAAGGGGCCATGAACCAAGGAATGCAGGCACCCTCTAGAAGCTGAAAAAGGACAGGAAACAGTTTCTCCCTAGAGCCTCCAGAAGGAACACAAGGCTGCCAACGCCTTGACTTTAGCCCAGTGAAACTGATTTTGGATTCTTACCTGTAGAACTGGTAATACAATACATTTGTGTTGTTTTAAGCCACTAAATTTGTGATAATTTGTTAAATAGCACCAGCAGGAAGCGAATATGCTACCAACTAAACATTAAAGACATGCTTGCAAAGAAAAATGTCAGGCTCACAGACATTTGGAAAAGAGATGCTTCTGATCTGCTTGTGATCCCTAAGACAGCTTGCTTTGTTCGGGTTCCTTTTCTCAAAAATCCCCCAAGGCAGAAGAGAATTTGTCAGGAATTTTTAAAGGGATGTTTGCCAAAAGCAACAATTTTGTATCTTCCCACTGCTGCCCCCTTTTTTTTTTAAAAAACATCGAGTGAAGTATTGGGTGGAGTTTCAACCACCAGACTGGCAGAGTTGCTGTGGGAGTCAGACTGAATCCAGCTAATGACAGGCAAGCTGTCCCCTTAGGACTGAAAGTTCTAGACTTGCTGCTAAGCACACCATATCCGATAAGGACATCAGAGGGAGCAGCAGGGATGACCATGGGAGTGCTAATTATTGCATCTTTTCAAAACCCAGCAATACAAAACAGCATTTAAAAAAAAACAGTTGTCAAGTCAGTTTCAACTGATGGTGACCCCATGTGTATCAGAGTAGAACTGTGCTCCATAGAGTTTTCAATGGCTGATTTTTTGGAAG